CTTCGATCGACTCTTCATGTGGTTGAATAGCCTTTTCCTCTTGCACTAATAGTCTGGAAAGTTCTCCTGGTATCTCACAATCTTCCTCACCTTCATCCTCGGCTAGGTAGATCGGATTTTCAAATTCATAAGTGGCAATAGCAGAATTATTGTCAACGGGATCCATAGTGGATGTGGGTCTACAATGTATTGTGTGGGTGTGTGTAAGAACACATAGCTATTTGAAAGTGATAAAAATAAATACAAAGAGCGTAAAATTTGAATGCAAAACTTCCAATGCTTTTATTAAATTAAAATATGTTTATGACATGAAAACCCTTAGCAAATGGACCATTGTGCCCCGGGTAAGACACGAGGTTTAAAGTCATTGTTCAAAAATTACATAACCAAAACTTTGAAAGCAATAAAAACAGAAATTTAGCTATTACTCCTGACTAAAGGAGATAGAGATAATGTTTTCGGCCTTCCAGTTGCTGAGCCCATTGCCAATGGTAGGAAAGATCCAACTGTCAAGGTCATAATCATTGTCAACATCTTCTATCAAGTTGACTCCGTTGTTGCTAACATGGTGTAATATGGTGGGAGGACTGACTTAGTTTTGCATTTTATCGCAAATGTTGCAGATAGCAGGAGTCACCACCGACTTTTATTTTATCCAATAAGGAAAGGTGAAAAGAATAGGAAAGAACTTTCAAAATTTTGAGTTCGGGGGGGGGGGGGGGGGTAAGTTATGAAAAGGGAAGGTGTTAGAACCCTTTTCATCTGTAGTTATCTACGGGCTCTTAATTGCTTAGCTCACTTTAATTTGCTTTGTGTGTGATTTGTTTGAAAATGTTTTGATAATGCCAGTGCAAGGCAGTCTGCTTTATAATAACCCTTGTATCAGTCCTCAAGAGTGTTTATAAAGCGTTTGAAAGTGTGAGGTGTGAAAATTATTTTAGTTTGTGAGCAAGAAATTAAGGGTTTCCTTACCCACTGAAAGGTCTTTCGTTATTCTTTTTCCTTCTTCGTTAGGGATAATGCTATCCATATTATTAGTTGGTAGGAAGCCCCATCCATTGGATGTGAAGGGACAGGCGTAGGGTCGTCGTTATGGTCATTGAAGGCAACATATAGGGATACCATAGCAATTCGAAGGGACTGTCATCATATTTTTGTATGCAACATCGATGGACAAGATCATTTCTCGTAGGAAACTTCGAGGGATATCGCGAGACTATGATCTTTATGATGACTTTAACCGAGGGTCTTTTCTAATGGTATCCCTATGTTCGAGGGACATGACCATTGTTATTCCGAAGGCAATAGAGAGAGACTACCCTAGAGGTGCGTATGTGAAAGAGTAATTCAATTCAGTTATGTTGTCTTGAGAGTTAAGGTTATCTAGCATTTTTTTTAAGATCTTTCCATACATGCCTAGTTACTATACAGTTATATACATACATACATACATACATACATACATACATACATACATATATACATACATATATACATACATACATCCATACATACATATATACATCCATCCATAGATACATACATACATACATACATACATACATACATATATACATACATTCATACATACATACATACATACATACATACATACATACATACATGCATACATACATACATACATACATACATACATACATACATACATACATACATACATACATACATACATACATACATACATACATACATACATACATACATAGGTGCGGAAAGTAAAAGTGCGAAAAATAAATCCTAAGCTATTACATCCCATGAACAGATATAAAATAAGAAAAAATATGAGAAAGTAAACTACGACTATTACAAAGTTGCGCACTCCTATACATTTGGTCTAAGAAATTAAATAACAAAGAAAACAAAAAGAATGTTAGGAAAAATATTTTTAAAGATCTAAAAAAGAACCTAATTTGATATTTTTTGATATTTTTGTATTAAATGATTTTTTTGTGTTTGAAAGAAATAATCTAACCTAATTCTACATTAATTTACCATTTATTTAATAAAATAAAGCCTAAGTCTAAATTAATTAATAATTAAAAAATTTAAAATACCTCATTAGTTAAGAAAAACTCTAATCTTAATTTTTGGTTTGATTTGGTGTTAATTGATTAATAAAATAAATAAATAAATTAGTTAAACATGTTAATGTTTGTTGACAATAATTTTGGTAAAACAATGCTTTGGTAATGTTTTGCTTATTGTCTTGACATTTGAAGTAAAACATCTCAACTGTTTTTGAATGATGTCAAAGCAGATGTCTTAACATCTTCCTGCTGATCTGAACGTGCTTTCATATTTTCTGTTTCCTGTTTTTAAGCGCGCCTTATTCAGGATTTGTGGTTTATGACTTGCAAAAAATATGGAGGAATATTTTTTGATATGTCTTACCCTTTTGAATTATATCTTGGCCTGTTTTCATGGAGATTTTCAAGGGATTCAATTTAATGGAATATTTGTGTTTCAGCCCAAGTCCGCTGCTGCGCCTTTATAAGGACTTGCATCCTTATTCGTTGAACATCAACTTTTGAAGAAAAACATACTTTGTGCATTTTAGAAGTCTAAGTATTTTAATTATAATACACTATAGTATTGGTTCAATACTTGAGTTACAATTTGAGTTGTGAATTGTGAATCATTCATAAGCTTTTAAGTATTGAATGATTGAGGTTTTACAAATTTAATAATTCTGTTGTTTTTCACTGTTATTGATTAAAGGGATTTTAGGAGGGCCTCATACCTAGGTGTGTCTTAGGTAGAAGTATACCACGGGTAGTCATTAAGTGATTAGATCGTAAATTAGTTGTTTACTGAGGGTCTATCAGTTGATACTATTTAGTGGACTTGTCCCTGGCTTGGTAGCCCCCAGAGTAGGTGTTGTTGTACATCAAACTAGGTTAATAGTCCCTTGTGTTTTTTACTTGAAACAACCAGATGAAAATCATCAAACAATGAAGTCGCCATCGAACGTCTTTTATCCCACAGGAAGGGAAAGTTAAACATCGAGAAAACCTGAGAAGGGAGAAGTCACGGTCTTGCGACCGAGAGATCGGGTAAGGGAGTCTGTTACGCAAGGGGAAGGTATTAGCACCCCACACGCCCATAGTACTCTACGGTATCCACTCTTGTTGTCTATATTATGGGTGTGTCTAGTCTATGCTTACTGTTTATTATTGCTACTGGAGAATGCATGCGAAAGAAAAGGGGAAAATGTAGGGAAAATAAAAGTGGTGCTCGTTCGGGCCCTACCCCGATGCCTACGTATCCCTTTTAAGGAATCAGAGCAGCCGTGGTTCGGCTTATATGTTTTTATTTGTTTGTATTTTTTACTGAGCAATATTAATTTCGCCTTCTGCCGCAACTCGACCTTTGGAGACTTACGCGTCAGCACAAAAGTGAATTAACATGCTCTTCTGAAAAAGTTTGGAGAAAATGTGCTTGGGCGCACAAAAAGTTTGAATTTGTTTGTGTTTGTAATGAACGAAATTAATTTCACCTTCTGCCACAACTCGACCTTTGGAGACTTACGCGTCAGCACAGAAGTGGATTAATATGCTCTTTTGAAAAGAGTTTGAAAGGAAGGCCCGAAGGCAAAAAGAATTTTATGTTTGTAGATATTTTTTGCTTGTAGAGAATAACTAGTTAATCTCAAGAGAGTAATTTTAGCCATTTCTCTACTTACTTATGAAATGATTCTTTGAGATTTGGACCATGCCAAGGCTTAGAATGGAAAAAATGATAAGATCGAGAAGAGACCCGCTTATCATCTCCCATGTTCAATAAAAGCATGATTCTCATCGGTAGTTTTAAAGTGTTTTGAATTTTTGAAAGAAAAAAAGGAAGTTTTATTTTTAGTGCAAGCGCAAAAGGGTAAGAAAAGTCAAGGGGAATTAGAATTTCTAAACCTAAAGTTATCATACTTCATATGATCTCTCGAAAGGGATAAATGCGGAGATGAGGAATAAAACGAGGTTGTGATAATACCGAACGGAGAAGGTCCGTTGCCTCTTCAAAGCCATGCAAGCGATAAACAAAAATTCTACCGAAAGCCTCTTTGAATTTTCTTGATGAAGGTTGTGCTCTAAATTTACTTCGAAGCCTGTCGAAACTCTTCAAAAATTATTACACGTAAACGTCATATAATCATGCCAACAAGTATCATGGATAAAACACCGTTATCGAATGAAAATTGGATTAAGAATCCATTACAAGGCTTACAAATCAAATGAACATTCAACGAAACAAAACAATCTATTTTTATCGAGTTTATGAGATTTTTTATGAACCTAACTACAAGCAAACAATTAATCAAGCAATTAAGGATCAGAACCTTGCATTAAACCCTTTATCATGCCAAAGAAATTGTATCAATTAGAAAGAACCAACGAGAACATGTTAAAATCCTAGTTCCAAACATATTCAAAGATCAATTCAATTAAATCCTAAACTAATAGATACATCATAAAAAAATATCAACAAGTCAGGAATCAATATTTTTAATGTATACACAAAAAATTAATCAAAAATTATGAAAGAAACATCAAAAATTAATTGAAAAAAATTCAAAAAAAAACAAAGTAAAGTGAAGAGAAAAGTTAGGGAGTGAAATCAGGATCCACGGGTATGAATTGGAATGCCTAACGCATGGGCCCAGTCCAGATTTCATGTGACCAGGTCTTTAATATCAACATTATTTTCTGATTTATTAATATATAAAAAAAGAAAATAAAAACTGAAACAAATGTGAAACGGTGTAGTTTCGATGGTTTAGGGTTCAAAACCCGTGCTTCTGACTTGAACCAGTAGTGGAGATTTAAGATGATGCAAAATATGGTTGATGTCGAGATGCCGCAAAGCTGATGCAGGAGAAGATTATGATCAAGTTGGTAAGGGTTGTTTTTGTTTTTGTCTTGGTTAGAAATTCTTTCCATATCTCTGGGCCAGTAGTTTCATAATGCAACTTTGGATTAGCAAGGTTGTCAAATTGTTGAAAGATATATGTATTTGGAGTCTTGGCCAACATCTCTTCTGCTTTCTGAACTGCCCCTTTCATTCTCTTTTGCAGGATCTGTCAGAACCAACTCAGCCCAAAAATATAGAAGAATGGTTCTTCTTTCAAGACACATTGTAGTAGGCATTGTAGTGATAAGCTTGTAGCCTTTTACTGCTGCTAGGAAGGCCAATCCGATTCTCGTGTTACCTCTTGTTACCTCAATGAGGACACTCTTGCCAGGAATAGTGAGCCCCTTCTCCTCTGCATCAGTAATCATACTATAGCCAATCTTGTCTTTAATACTGGAACGTGGCCTCATTAATTCAAGTTTCGCGGCAACGCGAGCAACATAACCATAAGTGACTTTGCATTGTTTAGATAGAGTGTCCATGTTGTGCTCCACTTCCTCAATTGAACTTTGTAGTGACCTGATTGCAAGCATCTCTAAAGCCTCCAGCCTCTTCTACTGACTTCAAAAGCAGATCCAGTTCTTTGGTCATCTCATTAATATTGCCAAACTGCTTTGACGAATCAGAACTTGAAATCCCAGGCTTGGATGAATTTACATGCTGCTCATCAGAAGGATGAAACTTTCTCATAGATGACTTTCCAGTTGTAGAATTTCCGAGTAATGACAAATGTGAACTTTCTGCTCCTACGGAAGTTAGTTGTCCACCACTCTGAACAGGCCTACTGGAAGAGTAAACGCCAGGAGATTCAACATTCACATCCTTTACAAGAAAAGGCTTTCCATCAGTGCTACCAGGAACATTTGCAGCAGAATAGGTAGCAGGAGATTCAACATTTTCATCCTTTACAAAAAAAAAAGGCTTTCCACCTATGCTACCAGGAATGTTTGGAGTGTTGGCATTTGTAGCACCCATAGTATATTTTTTATTTTGATAACCACTACCATCAACATAACTTGAACTGGAGAATGAAATTTGGATTTGTGATCTTGGAATTTGAAAAAGCCTTGAATAAATATTGAACGCCCTTATGCATGCATAAACTTGAAATTTTCTCTAAATTCCAAATAACTTGTTTCTCATAAAATCCACATGAATCCTTTTCTAACCTTGCATGCTTGGTAAATGAACTTTAATCCAATTCTTGAACAAAACTTGAATTCACATGATATTTCTCTCGAAATAATCTAAAGCAAACTCCGTGATCAGAATTCCACCTTACTGAATGAACCCTGAAGCAAATGACCTATATCATAAGCCCTGAAGCAAGCCCAATCTTTAATTCGATGATCATGAACCAAATGGCCCCCTAACATCACCCTACGTCCTTCGTGAGAGAATGGATCCAACACGTTGATCCCCATCAACCTTGTATAGAAAATAATAAGAGAACCGAAATGCCTTGGTCTTAATGAATTTACAATGTCATCCTTATATCACACCTTATCATCCCATGAACCTCCATTGAAGATGTTGATAAACCTAAGTACAATAGGATATAAATCCTAAACTTTCACACAAAGCTTTTAGATTTTGATCTTCAAAGTATTGAAATGAAATCCGAAGAAAATAAGTTATATCGCAAGTAAGCCAATCGACCAGATGAAGAGCTTTGCATTATAAGGTATACGAGCTCTAATTCATGAAGAAGGTCCAACTGAATCTTCTTTTCTAGAATAGAGTTGTTACCCACATAACTAGAGATTCAAGCAATGATTTCCTTCCTATTTTCCAAAGACATATCAATTGAAACCCTGGTTATTCATGGACGATATCCCGTGATTATAGCCTTTCCTGATAATCACGACTTCCCGGAGAAACCTCTCTTGAATGGTACGTGATTTAGAGAAATAAACCCTAATCAACGGGTGACGTTGAGGACAAGGAGATAATAAATGTCTGATTTAGTAGCCCTTATATGACCTCATAGGAAAATTTGGAATTTGAACATGGGAATACCGAAAGAAATATGACCAAGATGGCCACGACCTAGAAAACCTAATGAACCCGGTTGATGAAATGCTGACAAGCACAAACTTGGTGGAGAAACATTCTGACTCTTGTCTTGAATGTATCTGAATGAGTAATAACCCCTTTAACTTGAAGAGAACAGAACCCTCAATAAGCATAGGTTGCAATCCCAATTCCATACTTCACTGCTTGAAGGATAATCAGAAGAATCACGCCTTATTGGATACGAACACCTCAACTGCTGCGAAACCCTAATATCGCACAACCATTGAACTTTGAACCTCAAGCGCTTTATTGAATGCAAATGTATGTTAATGACCTAATGAAAAGATATGAATGCAATGCTAAGCCTAAGCCAAATAAAAGAAATTAGAAGGGAAAATTTTGGGGTGCAACAGCTGCCCCTATTTAATCGCTTTCAACCTGAAGGTGAGATTGGCGTCAGCCTTTCGAACTTTCAGGGTGGAAGAAGATTAAATACTAAAAGAACCCGAAAATTTTCACTCCGGAGTCAGTCAGGTATTATTATTTTTGGTTTTTCTGTATTTTATTTTTTTTTGCTTTCTAGGTTAAAGGGGTTATCGGGGTTAGATGTATGTTTAACCAGGGTTTGACACACAAAAAAATAACTTGGTTATCAAGGAACATCTGTTGGGATTTAGTAACAAACACCTGTAAGAAAGATATCAAAAGATATATGCCTGAAGTTTGTAGCAGACATACAAAAAAAGTATCAGAGACACATATCCGGGGTTGGTAGCGGATATACAAGAAAGAGACATCAAAAATACATATCCGTGGTCGGTATCAGACACGTAAGAAAGAGATAGAAAAGATACATATCCGTGGTCGGTATCAGATACATAAGAAAGAGATAGAAAAGATACATATCCGTGGTCGGCATCAGATACGTACAAAAGATATAGAAAAGATACATATTTGTGGTCGGTATCGGATACGCACAAAAGAGACATCAAAGATACATATTTGTGGTCGTTATCAGATACGTACGAAAGAGACGTCAAAGATACATATCCGTGGTCGGTATCAGATACGCACAAAAGAGACATCAAAGATACATATTCGTGGTCGGTATCGGATACGTACGAAAGAGACATCAAAGATACATATCCGTGGTCGGTATCGGATACGTATGAAAGAGTCATCAAAGATACATATCCGTGGTCGGTATCGGATACGTACGAAAGAAAAAGATACATATCCGTGGTCGGTATCGGATACGTACGAAAGAGACATCAAAGATACATATCCGTGGTCGGTATCGGATACGTACGAAAGAGTCATCAAAGATACATATCCGTGGTCGGTATCAGATACGTACGAAAGAGACATCAAAGATACATATCCGTGGTCGGTATTGGATACGTACAAAAGACATCAACGATACATATCCGTGGTCGGTATCGGATAAATAAGAAAGAGATATCAAAAATACATATTCGTGGTCGGTATCGGATACGCACAAAAGAGATATCAAAAATACATATCCGTGGTCGGTATCGGATACGCACAAAAGAGATATCAAAGATACATATCAGTGGTCGGTATCGGATACGTAAGAAAGAGACAGACCGAAGAAAGCTCTTACAAAGATATCAAGAACACATGTCTGGGATTGGTAGAAGACATATGAAACAGGTATCAAAAATACATATCTATGGTCGGTATCAGATACGTAAGAAAGAGACAGACCGAAGAAAGCTCTTACAAAGATATCAAGAACACATGTATGGGATTGGTAGCAGACATATGAAACAGGTATCGAAAATACATATCCGTGGTCGGTATCGGATAGTAAGAAAGAAAAAGATACATATATGTGGTCGATATCGGATATGCACGAAAGAGGTATCAAAAATACATATCCGTGGTCGGTATCGGATACGTAAGAAATAAAAAGATACATATCCGTGGTCGGTATCGGATATGCATGAAAGAGGTATCAAAAATACGTATCCGTGGTCGGTATCGGATACGTATGAAAGAGACAGACCGAAGAAAGCTCTTACAAAGAAAACACCAATCGAATGTGAACTTACTGAGGGAAGAGACCAAACAAATGGGACTCCTGACAAATGATACCAGTCGACGATGGATTTTAACAAATGATACCAGCCGAAGCGGGGTTTTGAAAGATACTTGCCGGAGCGGGATTTTAACAAATGATACCAGCCGAAGCGGGGTCTTAACAAATGATACCAACCGAAGCGGGATTTTAAAAGATACCAGCCGAAGCGGGATTTTAACAAAGGATACCAGCCGAAGCGGGGTCTTAACAAATGATACCAGCCGAAGCGGGATTTTGAAAGATACCAGCCGAAGCGGGATTTTAACAAAGGATACCAGCCGAAGCGGGGTCTTGAAAGATACCAGCCGAAGCGGGATTTTGAAAGATACCAGCCAAAGCGGGATTTTAACAAAGGATACCAGCCGAAGCGGGATTTTAAAGAAGGATACCCGCCAAAGCGAGATTTTGAAAGATACCAGCCGAAGCGGGATTTTAACAAAGGATACCATCCGAAGCGGGGTCTTGAAAGATACCAGCCGAAGGTGGATTTTAAAGGATGCCAGCCGAAGGTGGACTTTAAAGGATGCCAGCCGAAGGTGGACTTTAGGATAAAGAAACCAGCCGAAGGGGAATCTTCATCCAGGAATACTATGTCGAAGGTAGATTCCTAATAAATGAATGTCGGTCGAAGGAGAACTTACAACTGCAAAGAGACCAGCCGAAGGGGACTCTCAACAAATGATAAAGGCATGCATATCTGGTCAGAGTTAGATACACAAGAGCGAAGTTGATCATCAAGAAATAAATGTTTAGAATTGCTAGCGAACACAGGAATGAGACTAACCAAAGAAATCCCCAATAAAAAAGGACGCATTCGTCTAAACAAGGGTGCCAGACAACTGGACTTTGAAGAGACATTGAAAGACTCTTAATCATAAAAAGTTAGCTAGGCTAACGAAAGGAGGACCCGACTAACGCGGATAAACCAAAACAAGGAACCGACTAAACAGGACCTTCAAAGAGCACTGATCGAAGGTGAACTCTGCAAAAGAAAGGGACTGGTCAAAGCAGACTTTAACAAATAAAAACATGTTTAGGCTTTCGAATAGGTTGCAAATACGCAAGAACTAAAAATCCCTCAGGCCAGAGGCGGGGTGTTAATTCTTCAAGAGTGGTAATTGTCTGAATTACCACACACCAAGTATGGATACTCAAACACTTGATAAGCAAGAAAGGTTATAAGCCAACTCTTACTCATATTCTAACGACAAAGCAAACACGGGTAAAATAACCAAAGGCTTGCAAAGGCAAGCGCAAACCACAAACTTATTGGGGAAATGGAGAAATACCAAAGACCCGATTGGTGGAGAATCAAAACAAACTCCGATGGGGAAACATAATTGAATTACCCTACGCTTGTTGTAGAGATAAATCAAATCTGAGCGCATAACAATCTGGTTACTGCAAGTGGACATAACTGGCTTATACTCATGCATATTTGAATTTTTTCATAGCGTAATGCTCTATACAATGGAAATGCTACGCGTTTTGGTAGATACAATGTAATGATGCAATGTAATGATGCAATGTAATGATGCAATGCATTAAGAAAACATGTCAACAATCGGCTGCTGAGAAGACAAAGAACTTCCGAACGATTATTCTTGTACATCTGATCTTTTGTAGAGAAAAGGCAAAATGAACTTCAATAGGGCACCGAGACTCGGAACCATTAATCTTTTAAAGGTCGATATCACTGGGGAAGTAACTTCCTGGGAAGAATATTGCAAACATAAATTGCGGTTCATGGAAAATCTTGAATTCTGATCAAACTCCCAACTTCACGGGGAACAAGTTCCTTATCCTCTATTGGAAAGAGGAAATTTTTTTTGCTGGGAATGGAAACTTCTGGCAT